CACACACACACACACACACACACACACACACACACACACACACACACGAGTGCAGCACAGAAAACACTGCTTCTCTGTTCTTGGCTACTATCCCAAAAAGAAAGAATGACTCATTTTTGGAGAAACTCACTACTTTTTTGGGGCTTTTTAGAGTGTAAGCTGTGTCTGAAAGGTATAAAAAAAATATACGTCGTCAAAATCTGCAGGAGGCTACAACAGAGAGGAGTGTCTGAGGACTGTGGAGTGTTACGACCCTCAGGAGGACCGCTGGACTTTCATCGCACCCATGCGGACTCCGAGGGCTCGTTTCCAGATGGCCGTGCTAATGGTAGAGCATATCTTTCATCCTTATCTGAAACCGGTTGACTCCACAGGAAAGTGACTTATTGACTGCTAGTGAGCCTGCACCTGTTAAAACAGGTCCCAGTTGTCCAGAGCAAACGGTTACACATTTATCTACGCTCTAATCGAAAAGTGGGTCGTGGAGTTTATTGCTCACCCGTTTTCCGCCTCTCTCACAGGGTCAGCTGTATGTGATTGGAGGTTCAAATGGACATTCTGATGAGCTCAGCTGTGGGGAGACGTACGATCCACGCGCCGATGAGTGGGCCCAGGTACCAGAGCTTCGGACAAACCGCTGCAACGCAGGTCGGTACCCCGCAGGGGCTTAGCTTCTGCTGGACTTTTAACTGGAAGCAAACTGCTTTGTCGGCTTATTGATCAGCTGAACTAATTTCTGTCGTCTTTGCAGGTGTCTGCTCCTTGAACAACAAACTTTACGTTGTGGGAGGGTCGGACCCCTGTGGGCAGAAGGGCCTGAAGAACTGTGACGCTTTTGACCCCGTGACGAAATCCTGGTCCAACTGTGCTTCTCTAAACATCAGTGCGTATCTCCGCCATCTCGCACGCGGCGCAAACGAGACGAGACGAGGAGAAAACAACAAGTCCCATTAACGAAACGACTCTGTCTCCAGGGAGACACCAGGCGGCCGTGTGCGAGCTGGACGGCTTCATGTATGTGATTGGAGGGGCCGAGTCGTGGAACTGCCTGAACACCGTGGAGCGCTACAACCCCGAGAACAACACCTGGACTCTGGTGGCCCCCATGAACGTGGCGCGCAGAGGAGCCGCCGTCGCCGTGCACGCAGGTAACCCCCGCAAAACGCACCGGCGCGTCGCCCCCGGAGCCAAGGGGCGGCCGTGGGCTCACGCCGGCCTCTCCTTCTCAGGCAAACTGTTCGTGGTCGGCGGCTTCGACGGCTCCCACGCCCTCCGCTGCGTGGAGGTGTACGACCCCGCCCGCAACGACTGGAGGATGCTGGGGAGCATGACGTCGTCGCGCAGCAACGCGGGCGTGGCTGTGCTGGGGGAGAACATGTACGCCGTGGGCGGCTTCGACGGGAACGACTTCCTCAACACGGTGGAGGTGTACAGCCCCGAGGCGGACGAGTGGAACGACTACACCAAAGCCCCATCTCCCCTCTCCGACTGAGGAGGGGGGAGGTGGGGGAGCCGGGGCGGCGGGGGGCGGGCGTTTGGTTTCACAGTACTTCAACTTTTTCCAAACTAACAGGCTTAGTGACGTAATCGTGTTTCGTGATCTTCTGTGTGTATGAATGGGTTTGTGTGACAGGTTCAGGTGAGGGGTCTTCAGTGAAGACTGGCTTATTCTTGACAGGTGGGAGGGGGAGGGGGGTGGGGGTTGTTGCCCAGAGCAACATGACGCCTTTGCATATTGCATACATTTGTTCTTCTTTTGAGCTGTATATATTTTGTTTCTTCCTCATTTTTTTGTCATATGCCAACATTTACTACACATTTAGTGCTTTTCTTTTTCTCCTAGTTAAAGGTAGTCACTCGGAGGGTTTTCAGATGAGCTTTCAATTATCAGCCATTTAAAAGGTGGTCGTATGGAGTGATGACTGAATTCTGTAACTTTTTAAGACAATTTCTGTTCAAGTGTAATTTTGCTCACATTTAAAGGTCAATGGTTTGAGGCCTTAAGAGTGCAAGTTGATAAAAAAACATAGCTTTTTGTGTCATTTTAAACGAGCTGGATTGCTTTTTGACTCTTAAATGATGGCCTTTTTTATATTTTTTATACACTGCTGATTTACCAGTTTAAAGTAGTAGCAGACGGCTTAAGTCAGTGAATCTAACCAGTGCCAGATTAAAAAATTTTTTTTTTGTGCACACTCTCACACAGACGCACCAGACACGCACATCCATGCTTCTGCTAACCAAATTTTTGTTATTGTGATTTAACTAATTGATGTATGTAGAGATACAGTTTACTGAAGATCCTTCTTTTCTCTTTTGTGTGTTAAATTGTCAGGCATTGGCAGATTCTTCAGGAAGGAATGTTAGAGCAAGAAAACTATCACATTTGTAACATTTCGTAATTAATAAATCATTTAAATCTGATCTTTGTTTTTGGCCTGCTTTTTAAGTGTTTGACACAGAACTGTTTTTCAGGCTGGGGGGTTATGCTGTTACAATGGGCCATATTGAAAGGTACTTTCAACGGTACGTTACCATGTGCTGCAAATCTGGAATAAGTCACCAGTTGCTGATTAAGTCAAATCTAAATTTAGCCTTTACTGCCACCGGCTCTGGTCCAGCAGTCGGGACTAAGCCAGTTTTTTTTTTTTCCTGCTTCTCTAAATATCTTTTAGGGTAGATTATACTAAGCTGGTTAACAGAGTTCAGCAGGAAGGGATGACGACAACGGTCACTCCTTTGGAAGTGTTGAAAAAGGACCATCTGAGTTCACTACACTGCTTGACCTCAGCTTTGTCTGGGCTGTTAGTCAGAGCTGGTTAAGCCCCAGCCCCGTGCTCATTCACAAGTTAGTCCCCTAATCCGATGACACACCCACCGAATTATAAAAAATAAATGGGGGCAGGTGAGCAGACAGAATGCTAAACATTTACTGATGTCTGTATTTTTTCTGCTATCACACCTCACAGACTGCCCTCAGACAGTACCGACACTTTACGGTCTAAAGATTTAAGTTTACATAACCAGAGTGCTAAAACGGGATCAAAGTGAGCAGTTCAGCTTATATACACATTTGTCTTATACCTATTTTCATAAACCCACAGACAAGAATAGTGTTGTGCAAATATATAAATCTGTAAAACAAGTCTTTATGATACGGTATCTTTACGATTGCACATTTTATGATCGTTACAGAAGTCGTGAGGCTTCAAAACATCTGGCTCTGCGGCTGCATCGAGAACAAACGCACCCTCTCTGTCCAGGACCCAACTCTCCTATATCAAGACAAATTTCAGATCGTTCTTGTCGCTGTGTGTCCTCTCCCTGTCTTATCTCCACCGCCTCCTGCATGACGTCTGGTCCCTCAGCCGCCCTGACTCACCCTGGCAGCAGGTGTAATCTCAGCCTGTTCGCTGGCCTCACCTGCCTCTAATCCCATAAATCATCACCCATGGCTGCATGCCTGATGATTAGGTCACACTTGGGAAATCAAACAGATGACACAAACTGTGTAACATTGGTGAGTAGCTCTTCAAAATAAAAAATAAAAACTCGGGTAGTATCATGAGAAAAACAATTTGTTTAAATATTAAATGGGTTACTGATTGATTTAATTAAATTAAACTGTTTTTCCCTCCTCCTCAGATCTTATGTAGCATAGTGGCAGATATCTGCTCAGGCCAGAGAAGCTGACTACTCAAGACGATATCTAAACCCACATAATGGATTTTACTTAACATCTAGGATGTATGAAATGCCTTTAATTTGTTACAGAATATTATATTCAATAATCAAGGCAGTTCTTGACTTGCAGCTCTATAAAACCAACATGGACTTGCGTTGTGATCTGTGCAGTCTGCAGGAATGCGAGAGTGAACTGTTGAATCTAATCCAGTTATGACATGTTGGGTAACGACAAAAGCAACAGCTGGATTAACAGGAAAAGGGGGGGAAAAAATCTGCCCTTCAAAAGCCAGAAAGCACAGAAAGAGCTGAAGTAACCAGTCAGGAAAAGCTGGTACCTTGGATTAATGAAGTAGAAAAAAAACTACATAATCAACATGAATTTAATTGTCAAGCTTGTTTTTCTTTGTTTTGTTTTTACAGATAATACACGTAACCAAGGTTTCAGCTGAATGCCTCCGTTTGCATAGAGAGCCTGAAGAGGTTCTGCTGTAAGTATTTTCTAAAAGTGTTTTACTTCAAGCAGAAGATAAAAAAAAAAAAAAGAACCAAGCCCCTGAGAGCGAATGATCTGGGTTAAGAGGATCACGAGACATCTTTTTAACACACAGACTGCCACTGCAGGTTAATACCTGTGGGATGCGCTTGGAAGAATGCAGAGGTCTTAAAGGCTGTGCCACCACACCACCGTCAGCAGAATCTCAGGATTGTGTGCAAGTGAAATCCGAGCTCAAATCATGATGCTTTCAATCGGTCGAGAAAAAATGTGACACGGACAAATGCCAATTCAAATGTACAGAAAACAACCCTTAAAAATGAAGGACAATTACAGACAGTCCTTTACTTAAAGAACAGTGTCTATTGCAAGAAGTGTGATATCAGAGATTAGAATGGAAAATGAAATGGTGAACTTAAAAGTTGGAGGATAAAAGATGGGTTTGGTGGATGTGAGAGCTCTACGTGCCGAGGTGGAAGTGTTCTCCTGTGGCCTGAACGCAGCGGTCCAACGCCGCCTTCAGCTCCATCAACTGGCTCCCACCAACTCTAAGCTTCTCCCTGGGAACAGGAAAAAAGCATTTGGTTTCAAAGTTTTAATCAGACCGTGCAGCACTTAATCCCCCAAAACCACACAAAAAAAACATCTGTGTGTTTTGCTTCAGCGACAAAAACCTGAAGACATGCATATTCCTGCGTTTATCAAAGTCTTCCTCAGACATCCTCCTCCACTCTCTGACTCGGGTTGCTCTTAATTCCAGACCTGCTTTGACAACCTGAACAACATTTCCTGTGTGGACATTCCCTGAACAGCCTGTCAGTTTGGTACTCTGAGTGTTGCTGTTGCCTCAGATGGATTTGTCTTGTTTTTAGAGGTTTAGGCTGACCTTTAAGTTGTTGTTGCAGCAGAAGCAGCAACTAAATGAAAATGTTGTCCTTGGAATGAACCACAGAGCTTCAACATGCAGCATAATACAGAAATAACACGGAAAATGCTCCAGTGACGACTGTCCAAATAATTTTGGTCCTTTAGAAAACGACTTTTTAACCATTTTGTAGCCCCTTTTCCTATTTTGTAGTATAACGCGATAACCTGTAATTTTCTGTTATTTTTTTTTGTTATATAACTATGACAGATATTTTGGGAAATAAAAACAAAAAAATTAAGTCATATTAAAAGTCTTATTAACCTGTTGTTTCCCTGTAAATGTCTAAGGTGAGATATGCTTTTTCCACAGGAATGGTGTGTGTAAAGCTAAATATTCCATTTAAAATGACTTCACATATGGCTGAGAAAGCCCTTGACACAGTGACAACTTGTTGATTCATTTGCTTTTTTTAAAAACAAAGACAAGAACCTGCACGGCAGTTCTGCTCTCTTCTGTGTTTTTCCGCATTCGTGAACCTAACAACATTTTAAACGTTAAATGTAACATATCAGCAAAAATATTCCGTTTGTCATTGTTCTGTGGGGATGAATCGGATAACGTCCAGCACAGAACGTCCTCCGGGACAAAAGCGCCTTTGTGTGCGCTGCTGCTTCCAGAAGCTCTGGATTTCAATGGCCACTATTTATTCAGATTTTCCCCAGCTGAGCTGCGCTTTTCTGGCCGCGCCACCTCTTGCATCCTGGCGGGTCACGAATGCTGAAGAGAAACGAGCTGTTGCAGCCCTGGCAACGGCTGCCTGGCAGCGCTGACACTGAGAGAGCTTGTTGCTTGTTTGTTTCCTCCTCTGCTTTGTTTCCACTGGAACATTGTGTAACTACAGACACGAGGGAAGGCGAAGAATCTGCTGGCTGCCGGCCCTCCCTCTATTCAGCCTTCATCCATCCATCCACTCCCCCCCCCTCCTCACGCAGCAACGCATCAGTGCGTTTGTGTTTTTTTTTTTCTAATCTGTGGAAACGTCTTGTTGTGTTACCCTCCGGCAACACGTTTAGACAGCTCCCAGGATGCGCTGGTGTGTCGCGGGGGGGCTGGTTTTACATGGAGAATGTTCCATGGACAGCAGGGCTGAATTGACAACTGTATTCACATGTAGGATCTGCCTGCTGGGGTCCGGCCAGCGGCTGTGGAACTTGTACTGTGCAGTCACTGACCCACAGTGGCCCTGCACAGGTACATGCTGTGGTGCGTGGAAGCGTTATGTAACCGCCCATATGTGTTCAAAAGGTAATTGATGAAAATCGGAGCTGACTTGTGATTGCAACTGAAAGGCAATGTCATAAGTGATTTTCATCCTAAATCAGTCAGTGTCTTATTATTGTTGGAGCAAACAGGCTCGACCGCAATTCCTTATCGTATTATCATCTTTGCAATCAACCTTTAAAATCAGAGGAGCTTTTGAAACACACTGCGGTTATCAACTCACATTTGTATAAAACAGCTAAATATAAATGTCCTATAACAGCATATAATCAATCACATTATACACACAGTGTAATTTTTTTTTAACGTTCAAATGAAAATACATGCCAACAAATATTCAGTAGGAGGGTTCTACTGCTTCACTAGCACAGATTTTTGCTCTATCCTTTCACACAATGAATGAAACTGAAACACTTAACGTGTCTTAAAATGAAACAAGGACTTTTTTTCCTATTTTAGAGTTGCATATGAAAGACAAAAAGGTGGTACTGACACGCTTAAGCTTTGGATACAGTCTGATTATAGTATGAATAAAAAGACATACCCAAGTAATTTTGCATGTTATATGATTCTGATAACATAGACTGTATTAGAAATAGCATAAAGAGTTGGATCAGACAAATTCAGTTTCTCTGTTTAAATACAATGAACAAATAAATGTATACGGTCTTATTGAATTTTAGCTTCAAAGGACTGTAAAATGAGAGCGCGCTGAATATGAATACCGTATACATAAAGCCAGGTAAAGAGTTTGTTTGTAAGGTTGAGTGTCTGAATCTGTTTATTATGTAAGAATTGATCTGAAAACAGAGATGCTGACATGTGAACATGCATTGAATTGCACACGACATGAAATGGGATCAATGCAGCCCGGAAAATGAGTTTTCCAGTCTAACACATCAGCTGCGATAACCAGCAGCTGTGCTGCATTAGCAGCCATTCCCCATCAACACTTAACCCGCCAGCAACAGTAAGCCACAAGCAAGCACGTTTACCAAACCACCGCAGAAAATCCAGAAAAGACGGAAGGCTGTACAAAAAATAAACACCAACTGATAGAGGGATGCATACATTTAAATCATAATTTTAGACCTGAAAGCTGAGAAATAAGACACTTTAAAAGAAGGATCCACTGAAATCAAGGCTTTTGTTCCATGTCCTCCCACCGCCTTAAAGAAAAATAAAGACCACTGAAAAATCAAAAATGGCTTCCGAGATGGAAACACTTGTCAATACACGTCTTACATAAACAAGGGATATGAATTTAGATATGATTACAGCATGATATAGCTCAGAAGCTTTGGCTTCGTAAGAACATTAGGCAAATAAAACATATTCTTATCTGCTGATACCCTTTTGAACCAAGGGCTAGACATGTGGCAGCGAAGGGCCTCCCTTAGGCCTTATGTAAGTTATGACATCACAGGGACGCACAGATCAAATATTTAACAGCGCAGATAATGTACTAAGTAAGGCTCCAGATCACTTCGCAGAGAACGTAGCAAACAAGAAATGTATGACCACAACACAGCGGGCTTAACTGTGACCTGTTGTAACGACGAGCGGAATGACGTCTGCGGTGGGACCCGAAAAAGCTTTTCTGCAAAGTGACACAGCAGATGTTGTCTTTAATACTAAATAACCACCGGTTTAATCGTGGCTTAGAATTGCCTCAAATACTGAGACACTGTCCTTTGAATTATTAAAGGCATTCACGCTAACAGTTGACCAAGATCTCACGGGATCCATTCACCATCACCTGAGACCAATTCAATGTCATATATAAAGAAATGATTGATTAAAGCACACAGATTGAATTTCTAGTAAAAAAAAGCTACAAAAAGTCAAACAGCAGCGTGAAGTGAGGGCACACGGTAGCCAGAAAGCAAGTGATCTCTTTAAGACATAGACCTATGCCTTGTTTCCATGGCAGCAGCTGAGTTGAAGCTGCAGGCATAAACATAGCTTCAGAGCTACTTCATAATGGACCGACAGGCAGGTAATGCTCCTCAGGCCCCCGTATCAGAGCAGTTATGTGCTTTTCAATGAGGCTGCGGACATAAAATGGAATTGTTTTCCCTCCAAAAGGCCACAATGATATAAAGCAGGATTCATACAAATCCTCCAATGTCATTAATGAAATAATGCCACAATAAAGACACCACTCTCCCTATTTTCTTATAGGACCCTAAAGAGATGGTCTCCACAGCATCTTTGAAACAAGGGAAAATATAGAAACTCCTAATTTAAGCCATTCAGGCAGCATTTCTTGTGCCGTCAATAAATCCTGCATCCTTCTGGGTTAATAATCTTAATCCAGAGTTTTGTGATTATTGACACTTAAAAAGATGTCAATTGGAGTAAAGTGAACGAAAACCCAGATAATTACAATTTATTGCAGGTCTATGTTAATTAATGCTTTCACCCTGATACTTCCTTGTCAGTCACTGTATTTAATTAATTTATTTAATTGAATTGATAGAGTGACATAAGTCAAAATGAATTAAGAACTTCCGTGGTCTTGTACCTGACACTTTTTGCTCCTGATCAGTGCCGTCAAGATACCGGATGTTCTTTTAATTGTAAATGTATTTTTCATGCTCCATGTCAAGATCATATAGTTGTTGAATTGTGCTATAGATATGTTTACTTAAATTTTCTTCTTTTAATTAATTGGTTACACATGTAATAACTTGTGTTATAACACACATAACTCGCTTTAGTTTAGTTATACCATCACTGTGTTGACGTCATGTGTTTCTATGGTAGTCCATGTCTAAGCTGTTAAACCTCCATTATTCAATAAAGGTCAATAGAAGTCGAAATGTTTATCTCTTATTCCTTCAAATCTGTTCAGATCAACAAATATGACCTCCCTTGATATTGGACTGAAAACATTTAAATGACTTTTTCGAAGAAATGTGTTAATAATGAAGCTGTTTGACATTGTTGACGTGCACTCACGTTGTCTGAAGGCTATTGTTACAGAGTAGCAGCCACAGCGGTGGAAAAACACACACACTTGCCCAGGCTTGTTTAACAATGCATAATAATTCAGACATGGTTCGTTTGCCCTTTACTGAAGGTAAGTCAGAATGAAAACTCACACAATAACTCAGAGTTTTCCTGAACAGTCTAGTAATCACAGGAGCTTAAAAAAGAGAAACAGGATACATGTGCACGAGCCTTACCTGTAGTCTGATTGTGAGAAACAATCAAGAAGGTCTTTTGCTGTTAATCTGGAATCTTCATTAACAATCTGAAACACCAAAAACATGAACAGTGCTCAAAGTGGTAAAGAGCATAGTGGGAGAAAAAAGTTGGGTTCATTTATTTTAAAGGGAAGCAAAGATCTTTTTGTGTTTTTCAGGCCTGACCTTGTTAGAGCGAATAATGCTGAGCAGTGTCTGGACTTCCTCCAGACCAGGCGCCGATAATAAGACACTGAGGGAAACAAACACTTTAAGGTGAAGCATGAAACACACGGAGGACCTTTTGAGGTTTGTCAGACATATTTTCACTGTCGATATTAACTTAATATGCTTTTGCTTCTGAAACTATTTAATTATAGTATAAAGTTAATGAATTATTCTTACATTTAAATGTTCTACAAATCTTCAATCATTAATATAATTTGAGTTTGAAGAGAGTTTAAATATTAGCACTCAGCTTTAGACCTACTCATCCCCGCTTCGCCACATTCCTCCACAACTGAATTACAGGGAGCTGCCCTGAGGCCAAATTCTAACACTGAATCTTTAAAAAAAATAAAAGGTCAACAAAGAACAAGAGAGGAGGAGGAGAGAGAAAATGTCCTCTGTAAATTTTGGAGGGAAAGGGAAAAGAGAAAGACATGCTGAAAAGCACTGTCAAAATATATACACACACTTCTACTAGAAGTTGCCAGAATTAATTGTCAAATCATACGAATCAGAATTTAATTCACATCTTACTTACTTACACGCACATAAATTGGGAATCAATTTTATTTAGGAAAGCACATTGTTTTTCAGTTATAAGGCCAACCAATTTCAAAACAGAACCTTAACCATGTCTATTTTCAATTCATGCCTGACTGACAGAAAAAAACCTAATGAGGCAACAATGAAAAGCACAGATACACACACACTAATATCCATATTTGGTTGTAAATTATGTGAAAAAATATTTAAATGTATGGCAGCAACAGATGCACGGAGAAGCAAAACAAAGCTAAAAAAAATCCCACAGGAAATAAGACTAAGTCCACGAAAACGCTGACAGCAGCATCATGATTAAATACGCACCACAACAGGAAGAATCTGGATTGGTTGAGGTAAGCAGCAATGAACTTAGTTTAAGTACAAAAAACATACTGCCAAAACTAAGTAAATAAAAAAATCTATAAAAACTCTTATTTAGATCATCTTTTTCCACAAAATGTGATATCTTGTTTACATTGTTACAAAAACAAATAATTTATATAAATAAATTCTATTTTTTTTGTATGGTTTGAGATTGGAGGTCAAAGGGCACCTAGGAAAAAATTGAGTTCTCACTAGACTCTGTGCCTCTTAAACATGGTACTATAAGTCCTTAGTAGGTTAAGATTTTCAGCATCGCTTACAGGTCTTCTTTTTAAAAAAGAGGGACATATTCACAAATATCTCTTTGGGCTCAGCACAACAGTGACCTGAAACCACTGATGTGTCAAGCAGAAGGCCTGAAACTTCATGCAGCCCAGTAATTATGCCAATTTAAAACTGTTGACTCTTTCTGAACAGATCTGGACAAGTAAACATTTACTTCTTGCAATCAGATATTTGTCCCAGTGTGATTAGTGGTCCAAGCAGACACAGCAAGGAAGAGTCTTGCTGAAGTCAAGGCACAGTGTCAAAATGAGTGGTGTTAAAGTGCTGTGCTTACTCTTGTGTCATGGGAAAAGGTGATAAGACAAAGCTATGAGGTCAACTTGATTACAAAGTGACAAACACCGCATGCCAAACGGGTCCTGAGAGCCATGAGATCATAGAACTGACACATGGATATAAGCAGGCCACAGGGAGAAGAGTGGCTACTCAGAAGAGGCAAATGACAGTTTAAAGAGGATTTTTAAGATGTCCAGAGGCCAGACAAACCAGTAAAGAAATATACACCTGCCTGAGATATGGGTGTTTAATGAGGATGGATGGAAAGAAGAAAGACACGGGAAAAAGAATTGACGGAAAAGCGTGAAGTTATAGTAGTTTTACACATTTGTTTCTGTACCAGCTCCTTATCTTCAACTATGAGAAGCAGCAGGAGGTTGGTCTTGCAAGCTTAAGTTTCTGAGCTGACATACCTGCTGAATGCTTGGAGCAGCTGCGAGACCACAGAGGACAGTTTGTTCAAACAGGCTAAAGCATCCTCTGGTGGTGAAGGACCTCCGACTGGCAGAGCAGCGTGCATGGTGTGAGGGTCAAAGCCGAGGGCTTTGAACACTTCCAAGCTGAAGCGTGACAGAAAAAAGGGACCTTTGGGGTCATCAGAGTGGAAATAAAAACAAAGTAGATACCAAAATAACCCCAAACAGGGAATTTAACCTCTGTTCGGAAATACAGTATATCAACTTAGGCTCTCATCTGAGGTTCAATCACACGCTGATTCCAACACAACATCTATTCAAAATCTTCACCTGGTTTGATAGACAGTAGACCAGATGTTTTCAAACATGGCCCACACTTCTTGGGGAGAGACGTGAGAAGGTGCGAGCCGTTTGTCCTCATCATCATTCATGATAACGTCACCGGCAAAGGTCTCTTGCACCACAGACTGGTGTTGCTTTAGTACAAATGAAGACATAGTTAGTGCTCTCACACTTAAAAGCTAAACAAGTAAAAAGAAAACAAAAAAACATAATAACTTGGCAGTTTCCAAACTAAGGGACATATGTGATATGTATACAAACATGCTTCAGCTGACCTCTGGTTGTAGCTCAGTAAAAATCTTTTCCATTGCAGAGATGGCACGGGGAACATGGTTTGAACTTTTCCAAAATGCTTTCACAAGTTCCTTAGCTTCCTGAAGGGCTGCTAAGGTTTTTCGGGAATCCACTCTTTCACCTTTAGCAACACACACACACAGAAGCATTTAGTACTGGTTATCAGATGACTAAGCTGAAAAGAATGTATGCAAACAGATGCTAATACAACTAATCCATCCAAACCGACATCCCCACTGAACAGGTTATGTCATAACCACAACCCGCGTTTCATATCAAGTAAGCCTGATAACAACAAAAACATTTAAACATGATTTGGAGTCAGTTGGCACTGAGTTTGGGTCTGTGTAATCATGCTGTGTGAAAGCCCATATGTGACTTAAAGGGCAAACATATGAATTTGATTCAGAAAGGAGTGGATGCTCATGACCAGATGTTGAGTTTTGTAACCTTGAGCAGAGGTGGAGGCAGGGAGCTGTTTTGACCTTAAGCATGGATTTGCCATTTGTGAAAACGTTGTATACCCACTGTACTGTACTCTACTTCAGCCTGATAGTGTTATTCATTATATGCCGTGATTTAATTTATATGAACTAATTCCCTGCATAATATCAACTTACACCTGTGTAGAATGTGTCCTCACAAGTATAGCTACAAACACACTCACAGCCTGCAGTACTTTTCCACCACTAGATTTGTTCTTCTGCTCACGCACTGTTTATCCCTCCTTTCTCAACTCCTCCTCCTCCTCCTCCTCCTACACTAAGAGTCCTGGCACAGAACCAGACTGCGTGGGACCAAAAAAATCCAGAATTTTGCATAAGAGCCAGGGACAGGCCAAGCACACATAGTTTAAGATCTTACCGATCTTAGACTCACTGAAATTACCCTCAGCCACAAAGCGAAAAGACGAAAAGCCTGAATGACAGGCTGAGAAGCACAAAGAAATGTCAGCACATAATAAGTTTATCCAGCAGTAGCGACCAGAACAGAAGTGCTGCAGTGGACTACTCAGCATCTTTCTGACACACATTTGAGACTCCAACTTTAGTAGATGACCTGGTTCTGTATTTAGTTCTGTAGGGCTGTAGCGCAGTGGAGGGCATCAATATCCCCCCTCCCTCGCCAACCAAGAAGCAAGTCTTAATCAGAGGAATGACTCAGTACTAAAAAGTGTTTTCAATTTGCTGAGTTTAAAGGCATTGAGGCAGATAGGGAAATGTATAATAATATAATATATATTATATGTAACAGTAATATAATCAGAGATCATCTTATAGTTTTAAAATCATTAAAACAGAATTATGAATGTGTAATCTGTACAGTAAAATGTGTGAAGGAGCTACTCTTGAACATATAAAATCTCCTGCACCTTTTTTTTTTTAAGTCTACTGTTCAAAATCAAAGATTCCAATCATCTCCTAGGAAACTGGTAGAAAATGTATTCGTGGAGAAATCACGTTTTCGTGAAGCTTCCCACAGTCCCAGCAACAGTGGTGATGTTCTACGAGTGTAGGAGGTTAACACCTTGAAAACACTGAGGACTTGTGCTGAACACACAGATGGTGCTATTAGACACAAACACAGTAGAGCAAATGCAGCTAGATGAGCGTAAAGGAGGTGAAGCTCGGCTTGTATTCATAAGTCTGTTCCTGCATAACACAAACTGGGACTTCCTCATTCCACTGACGGCTTACACACCTGAGTTAAAAAAATTGATTAGGTTCAACACAGTTTCCAGCATCCTTCGTGGGGCAACTTGTCCAAAGACAGCGATCCAGTGCTTTTTTAAACACTTCAGGGCATCTTGAAGTGTCCAGGGTGGTTTTATATGAATTATCTATGAAGACATTTGGGAAACAAAAACCATTAGAAATATATCACAGTATGATAAACAAAAGCTATGACTCTCCTGTCATTATCAGACAATCCCAGCAGCATTCATTAGCTCTATGCATTTCTTCTGGATATCTACCAAGTGTTAGGGAAGCAAATACATTATCAGAGAAAGAGTGACCTACTAATGCTCATTAATACACTTTTTGTCCTCTTGGATTTTTTAGACTCCTCATTTAATTTCAAAGCTACATACACCTATTTCAAAATGATTAATACTAAGTCAAAATAAACATTCAGTGATGTGAAACTCACGGAATGAGAATTTTACCTCTAACCATAGGTTTTCATAAGCGGCCTTCATCTCCTGCTCTAGGACATCAGACAGCACATCCCGCAGACATTCCTCAAGTTCTGAGAGACATCTGCTAAGTTTACGCTTTGTCTCCCCATTGTCCCCTTCACTGGTCTGCTTGCCATCTGTAAAGTGACACATAAGCATACTGAATATGTAAAAATAGAAACACAGTGTTTGTCTATCTATAAATAAACAGAGAGCTGAACAAAAGTAAACGGTGGGAGGGGGCATACTGATTGTATAGCTAGTATATGTTATTGTAATATAAGAGCCAAGTAACCTCATGTTTTCTATGAAGAACACATTAACCACTGGCTCACCTTTCTCTAGAACCCCTACAGAAAGACATGCTTTCTCCTCACAAAGCGGGGCTGGTGTGGTGCTCCTGCTCAACACAGGTGAGGAGATCTGGGAACTGACGTGAGGAAGTACTGGAGCCTGAAAGTCTTGCAGGACGTTATGTCTGGACTTCTCAATCTCTGCCTGCAAATCACTCTTAGAGAGGGCCCTAACCCCACTCAGGAGGGCTTTGCTGCACAGATTTTTATCATTTCTAGAAAGGAAAGATTTGAGGCACGGTTTTAATCATGTGGTAGTTCTAATATGAACCAAATAGCTACTGCTATAGTGACTGGGCAGAACATTCTTTAATTTCTTCATTTGAATTCAGCAAAACAATCAATAGCAACATCTGACAATCATCAATCACTACAGAAGTAGGTCATATGATAAACTCGTGAACTTGCCATTTAAATGTGAGCCAAAAAATATTTAACCGGACTAAACTCAACTCCTTAAAAACCCCTTGCTCAGCGCATCTATCCTTTACACAAAGAAAGACTGGCTCTCTCTTTCTCTCATCCCAACTGGAACTATCTGGTACAGTCACGCATGTGCATTTTTAGCAGAGGACACACACTCTGCAGCAGCAGCAGCACAATGTAGGGGGGAGGGGGAACTCACGTGCATAAGATCAGCGCACACTCTGGGTACATATTCCGGTATTGCAGGCAGCACTGCAGCACTCTGTCATCATTATTCTCAGCATTTAGACCATCTAAAGGGACGAAGAAGAGAAGAAGGGACAGGAAGACAAGAGTGACTCAGAGAGAGAGAAAAAACAGTCAAAAATGATGTACAGACTTTGCCAACACTGACAGTGTTTAAACTGTGCAAAAGAACAGAGCACATCTCTTTTTCTGTTAAAGATAACGGCCACACAATATGAAAATTCTACATCCACATTTTGCAGATGACTCGAATCTTGTTTTTCTTCAAGATACGTCTATCTCAAACAACGCAAATCTCCTTTATCACAATGACAAAGGCATAATCAGACTAACGTCTAGGAATACGCTGATGCAACCTGCCCTTGAGTTGCCCACATTTTTGGCTGTGATGACGACAAACTCTAAATGAACCGCTGAACGTTAATGCCACCTAGTGTTCATGTTGTGAACAACACTACCAGAATCACCACTTAAATGGCTGATTAAAAAAAAAGAAGTCATGCCTTTGCATCTTTGCAAAGGCAAAAAGTCAGTAATGGCATTTCAAACAACTCATTACTTTTTGAGTCAAACATCCACAAGCAAACTTATATTCTTCTGTTCTATCAAATTCCCCTGTGAAAACATCTGGAAGGGAATTGTATGTCAGTGTTCACAGATATTGGATTGATGACGATAGCTAAACTTTAGCTATATGGAATATAGCAGGCCTTCATTTGCAGATTGTAGCCTTGGATGTAATAACTGTGCACTCACAGCTGCTCTCGGCGGCCTGCTGCATAGACTGCCCCCACAGGTAAGGCTCCCTGCTCTTCAGCGCGTTGTAAATGTAGGAGATGGCAGGAGATGCCAGATGGGCCACAGAGCCTGACAGACCTCTTCCCCGTTTAAGTGAATCCAGCTCCTGAAGCACCACCCAGGGGATCAGGACAACGGGAAATCCCAAAGCTGAGAAAACAGAACGAGAATATAGAAGAATGGTTCCACGAATCAAAATGAAATCCTAACAAAAATATGAAAATTGCTGTTTTTGCCTTCTTGAAGTTGCATAAAATTTCTATCATGACTCTGAAATCATTCACAATATTTGTTCCATAATCCTCATGAATTTGATATGAATGTTTTGACTCTTATAAACATAACAGGCGATGTAAAGTAATATTTTACATCTGCTTATAGAAGAGCCAGTGTCAAGAATGAAATACCTCCGAGGCCATGAAATGTGATCTTTTTCACATAATCCAAGTGACTGAGGAGAATATTTGTGTCCAGAACAAGGATTAGATCTTGCTGACAGGGTAGTCTGCCTGTAGAGACAAATAAACAATAAATTAAATTGTTGCATAGTCATTATACAATGTACTTTACAAATGAAATCATTTAGATTTGGTTCCAGAAACAAAGTGGGAAATTTAAGATTCAATTATTCAGTAATTACGTTATTATGTGATTCTACCTTTAAACTAGGTTCCATTTCTGACAGATTTGAGGGAAGACTGGAGTAGGGATGCCAAAGGATAGAAACACCTACCTGTACCTCTATTTTCAGTGGGGTTTACTTCAGTGTCAGAACATAAGGCAAATCATTCTGAGACGTGCGGCTACCGGCTTACATTTAGACATTTTTGGATACAAAACAGGAAAGAATCTTATTGTGATGAGTCTAATGTTTTGTCAAAGTAAACAAATCCCAGATTAAAGTGCTATTTCAAACTAAACTGGACTTTGTGTCCTAATTCTGTTGTATTACTATGAAGCTGAGGTACCTGTTTTAAGTACAGGTTATAGAGGAATTACATTAAACCTTGACTTTTTGGCAATTTTCCTCAATTTTTCAGAGCTTATACTTGACTCATGATGGGGACAAAGATGTGTTATGGTCTTCAAGGACACAATGAGACTCACATGGGGTGTCTTTCGGAGCCTCTTCTGGAGAGTCGATGTCCATGCAAGTGAGTTCACCATAACTTTGCGTGAGATTTACTTCCAGCCTCTTCTCAGAGCGCGCAAGATTAAGCTCCACTGCTACTTGCATCTACATGGCAACAATGTTTAAAAGAACAAAATACAAACATGCACCTGTTGCTTTAGACCAACAGAAAAATGTATAATAGCAAACTGCTATATTCAAAGAAATGGAAAACGTTAAAGGATTGACATTCTTTAATATGCAAAGTTCAATTTGAGGCTTTCGATTACCTGGTCATACTCTGGCTCAGCTTTAGCATCATCTGTCGGAGGAACACGCCCAAAAGAGGATGATTTCTTATCTTGTTTTTCTGAAGGAATATTAGGAGTAACATCCAAACAGCTGCGAGCTTGTCGGGCAATTTTCTGCTCAACTTTCCTCAGTAAATCCTGTGGGACTGAAAGCGTGTTCCCATGTTTGACTTTACAGTCTGTGGAAGTAGCATCACTGTTTTCGCCTGTGTGGGGTCTCGGCCGAACCTTTTTTGGTATCTTGAATTTAAAAGGCACAAATTTTTGAGAAAGCATTTGTTTCAAAGCAGTAAGTGGCTGCCCTGTGCTAATAGAGGCTGATGTGTTGCTCACACAAGTTCCAGAGACATTCTTTAAGACATTTGAATTACTCTCTGAGGTAGTTTGCGGGACTGAGGAGGAAGACGCCTCTGAGATGGAGGCAGGTATATGCTTTGTGTCGGTGGACGACCTGTTTTTTGACTTCATCTTCTTTTGTTCATGGCTTTCGCACATCTCCTTAAACAGCTGCCTGTTCCTGCTCTCCACGTAATGATTGATAAAAGAGGAGTCTGTTTCCTGGGTCTTTGTAGTGCAGCTGTCATTTCCAGTTGGTGATGATTCCACGCCAATGGATTCCCACCTCTGTTCACCTTCCTTCTGGTTTTCATGCTCAGTAGAATCTAAACTGGGACTCATTTGACGCCTTTTGAATTCAGAGGACTTCTTATCTGACCTTTGTTTTGATGTCTGTTCTCTTTTCTGAGGAAGAGAAGCTGTGTTGTTGGTATTGAATGGTCGCGATTTGGTCTTTTCCACAGCTTTACTTTCAGTTGCAGTAATATCTTTTGCAGAATGATACTTTTTTTCTCTGCCGGAAGAATTTTTGTCACGGAATGCCACAGAAACACTTTTGTTTCTTGAAGGTCTGTCCCTTTCACAAACGGCTTCCTGCTCCACCACCTGTGTTTTGTGCTGCCTGTAGACAGGCGCTTTGAACTTGCGTGAGTGTGTAGTTCGGGAGTCATCTTTAAAGTTTTTGGGTTGCTCCTTTGTATAGCTACATATTGAGCAGTAAAAGAAATAAAAAAAAGAGTAATGAAATAATTAATTCAAGGAAATGTTGTCATTACGCATCTCACCAAGAAGTAAGTCTGTTTTACCTTTCATGTCTTTTTACGTGTTCTTTTCTTTTCAGTTCACTTCTGCACAGAACCTGAAAAAAGAAAAGAATTTCTTATGAATAAATCATGATTCACATAGTACGGTACTGTTAACAGATCTGATCTCATTAAGTTACATTTTTCGTTCAGTTATTACTAGTCAACTACCCAAATTCTGGTCTTTTTGTCTCGTAAATTTAGCATAAACCATAATGTTAACATATCTGGATAGAACATTACACCTCTTACCTAAAGTGACCACATCAGCATAAACAAACACATGGGATTGGCTCCTTCTCACCTTCTCATCTTCTTCACTTGAAGATGAAGACAACTTCTTACGCTTTCTCTTTTTTAAGTGTTTCGACATTTTCCTGAGAATTTAGAAGAACAATGTAGAATAATTTGTTAGCCAGATTCCTTAGTTGGAAACCTGAGAATAAACCAGAGTAGACCAAAAGTATAAAAATAACATTTACTGTACACAGTTAAGTAAATCAGCGCTGGGCTCTCCCTCAGTGTTTCAGTCGGCCAAGAGCCCTGATATCTGGGTTTGATGGGCATTATCTCCTTGGCTAGGTCCGCCTCTTCAAAGGAGGGCTGGACATAACCAAGTCCTATTGGCCATTTACCCCGGGTCATGAAAAGGACAGGTCTTAATTCATGCAGATAACATTGGAATGTGGTAACAAATGGTGTGTGTATGTGTTGACCTAAAGACGTGAATCTAATGGAACAGAGAGAAAAAAAGAGATAAAAGAGAGTCTGTGGACACAGCCAGAGACTTTAACACAAAAATATAGTTCTAAAAGGAATAAAACAATCAGTTATCTACTTAGATCATGTTATGATGTGTAATCATGCGTATCATGTGTAATTTTAGCCAAATTCTAACAAATTGAACATGCAAACACTGTCCACAAACAAAATTGCCAAATTATCAGTAGAAATCGACAAATAAATTTCACGTCAATGTAAATTATAAAATGATAAAATTACTTTTTTCACATAGCTGTCACATTTGGCCAAATTGGTCAATCCGATGTGAGGCAAACCACAGACTATCTTAGACTGTCTGAACCCCCATGAAACAAACTGACAATTTTGTCAGTAATTTTGACAAAAATCTATGTATTGAGGTTTACTTACACACATAAAACGTGTTATGTTGGCCGTTAGGAGCACAACGGCAGACACACGAGTCCGAATTCTCCTGTTCCCATGAACCTTTTGAAGCTAGGACATTAAAAGAGATAAAAACACTAACATAATGGAGAAGCGTTTTCTGTAGTTCCTGGAAAAGTTGTTCGTAATGAACAAATCCGAACGGAGAGAGACTAAAGGGGGGTAATCGTGTAGCGTTGGGGTAGGTAGAGAAGGTTGTTGGCATTCCTAAGGACCAAAACATCCGCGTTTTCTTCTTCTACGGATTTTTTCTGCACGCTGTATGATTGGACAGCTCAACACTGCCCCCTACTCTGTGTTGTCTATGTGACCTGCTCTTGCATCAGGTCGCCATCTCTGTCTACTATCAGGAGAATTTACTGCCTTAACAGCAGCGACCATTTGGGACATGTCGAACACAAGGCACAACACAAAGCAGCCACTGTTTTTTTTGTAAACAGCGTTAAGTTGCTTGTGGTATGCACATTTCATGTAAAAAATGTACTTGTTAGCCTGATTCTTTTATTAGAAGCCCGAGAACAAAACAGAGAAATGATCAAAGTGCAAATGTGTCATTCATGTCACATGTGAAGTATATAAGCGCGCTGGGCTCTTAACTGGCAAAGCTCAGTGAGGATCTCTATCATAAAGAGCAGAGCTCAGAGTTCCATGTGTATAGGTCTTTTATCTTTTTGGGCAAGGCCTTCCCCTTACAGAAGAAAGGCTGAAAGCATCCAAGTCTTATTGGCCAGTACCATGATCCGGACAGCTCCCACTGCTTGCAGTTTCCACAAAGATATGATAAGAAATGTGTGTGTTTGAGTGTTGACCTTGAAGACGTGTATCTAATGTCTCAAGCACAAAAGAGACATTTTTAGGACAACCATAGACAGAACATGAGTTCACTGTCTAAGGAGGAATCTTAAAATGAACAAAACCATTAGTAAATTATCAATAAATAAATAAACGAAACCCAGTACTGAATCTAGTAATAAAGTAAAACAATGTAAAACTCTAAAGTTGGTAAATACAGGCGAATCCCCACATACTGAACATTTTCTTTTTAAAGTCCCTATGACTAATGATTTGCGTGTTAAGTCTGCTTAATCCTGAATTAAACAAACACAAAACACAAAAAAAGGACAACTAGATGGCCGGGCATCCTCCTGCTCTTGTTACAGGACCCCACACCTTAGGGCAGCCTTTCCTCTCAGGCTAACTCGTGCCTGCAATAGCAGTTTTGGGCCACATAAGGACACTGTTGCTTCGTCCTATGCATCAGTCATTTTGACTCCAGATGTATATTTTTTACTTGTGAGTGGGATAAAGGAACTTTACTTCCTTTATTCTTCTGCCCTTCACTAAACAATTTGTCATAAACAATTTTCTAGTTTTTAAACTTTTTTTTTTTTATAATAAACTACATCTGTTTATGGAGGAATGAAGGGACAATCAGTTTAAGATTAGATTTTCTGAGAAAATTTGAAGAACTCTGCCACATGGAATGGGACGCTACCATATTGAAGGCTTTCTCCTGAAAGGCTCCAAGGTTGGTGGAGTGGATGGTGACTACATTTCCTTTAGCAGAATGCAAATAGAGGGCTTTTCACAAGTCCAAAATGGTGTGCAAAAAGAGACAGATAGAGAAAAGTAGGAGATTAATTCAGTATTTTACTTGTCCCTGCTATTGTTACTTGTCTTACTTGTTTTTTTAAGTTACATAGTGTAGTATATCACACTGAATTTCTATTTTATAAATCTAATTACAGAAATTGCTGGGTTTGTCTGAGCACACGAGTCAAAGTTGAACTCACGTTTTTGAAATCCGGATTTGTGGAGATCTCTTAGACCAATCACATGTTGTGGAAACTTCAAGCATGCATTGCATAAGAAATGAGAGCGCACTCTCTGGGATGAAAAGGTATTATTTGTCCTGTTTTTCAACTTTTGATATGATAAGATTTACAGTCCAGTCAAAAACACATAAACAAATATATTAAGCACTTTATTACTGAGAGCATAGCAGAAGCAGTTTAGTATTTTTTGAACGTCTTCCAGTGTGCCTGGAAGTAATATTTTGAATGAAATCATCTATTCATAATGGAGGAGACCATTCTTGTAGTGTGTTGATTAAAACAAGAACATGTATTCCCCTCAGTGCTGTTGCTAAAGTCGACCCTGGCTTGGAAACCATCTCTGGTGAAGACTTTAGAGGTAACAGAAATCAGTCGAATAATAAATGAGCTGTGAAAAGCACCAGCTGCAGGAAATAATCTCTGACCACCTCAGTTATCTTAGACAGGAATGATAACATGTTACGATGGTGATAGAAACAACTAAATATACTGGAATTCAGCAGATGGCACAGTTTGAAATAAATGTAAGAGATATTAAATACACAAAGATCATATTCAAAATTGGAAACAGACTTTTTCTGTTTCGTAGCCACTTTGTTGGGTTAAATTCTAATAGAATGTTTTTTTTTCAGTAAGAAGTGAAACATTCATCTTTGTACAAATGAACTCTTAACTCAGGGAAGCTGCTTTCAGTGGATGCTCTCTCTTGCTTGTTTTATTGTATCCAGTTTCTTATTGGGAACTGGTGTACTTTTTTTTCCTTCTTAAATAAAAAATGGAAACTGGTGTGTATGCTGTTGGGTTACAATGATTGCTGTGGGTAGTCTAAGCACTTTTTAATATCTTTTATGATGAGTAACCATGCCAACGAGAAAGTTTTTACATGTTTAGCCTAGAGTAAGACCCTAAATCCAAGTTTAAGTAGAGATCGCTCCGATGTAGGGATGGAGTAAAACAGAGAGAGAGAAATTAGGACATTGTTTAAACAATTTTTGCTTAATTTTCATGGAGAATGAGAGATCCCTGACAAAATAGGCTCATGATGACAAGGACTTAGTGATGGATTTCACTGAAAATTGGCAGCAAGTAAAGGACGAAGGATTGCAGTGACCGTTAACAGCAAATGGTGCAAACCTGGGCCTGCCACTGACAGGAAGTGCCTCTGCAGCATTCTTATTGAACTATTGGCTTTTGCCTTTTGTGACATCATCAGCTCAGTTGTTGCCCATTTTGTTGTGCAGGAAATTGCTTTACTAGTGGTTTAATAAGAAACCTGACCAGGATGTCTTTTGAGTATTTGGGTATTTTAATGGACAGCAACTGTGTAAATTACTGTGTGTGTTTGTGTGCGTGAGATAATCGATTTTTGCTCTCTGATTCTGGTATGTGCACACATGAACACAACGACCTACAGTTTCCTCCCAGCACATTAGACTACTAATTCACCACTCAGTGATTGTATGTCTTTCTTGGGTAAAAAACCCCCCCTATATTTGTGGAGTGCAAGCCTGGAAAGTGTCTAAAATCAGCTAGAATGGATAAGCTATTGGTGCAGTCTCCAAACCAAGCTTAGACAAATGGCTTGTGGCCACTGTGCTGCCCATGGCTGGGATCAGCTGTCCTTGAGACCTATATTTTCTCAAACTTTAGCAAATGTTCAAAATTTAGATGAAGACAATTGCTTCAATTGATGTTTTTCATTACTATTAAAGATATTTTCCACGCCAGAGTACTGTTTTCTCCTCTCATGTCAATTCAAAGCGGTATGACTGTGCTGGAGGTCATACAAAATCCAAATGGTCAGGTCACTTTAACCTGATTATGGTGATGATATGAAGAAGACATGCATGTATTGTTTTAGAGAAATGTAAGCCAAAAAAAAAACTCCCAATCTTCACATGACAGACTGAGAAAAAAACAATATCAAACTTTGGATCAAATATTCAAAACATGATTTGAAACTTTTACTTTTACAATGTTTAAATCTTCATGAGTCTCGTTTATTAGTTATCAATTGGTTTGTCCAATAGAACAGTGGCAAGAACAGTTAATTGTTTCAAACTTAATAAAAAAACACAAAATATATTTCCAATATATTTCCAATATCAGGATTTAATGCTTTCCTCCTATAAAATATGAAACTCCAGAGAATGTCTTTTGGTTTTTAACTGTTTGTTAGATAAATCAAATATAATTGTATGGTACATCACTGTGATTGTGGGGCATTATGATGTGATTAACTGAGATCTAAAGTTACAGACCTGGATGTCTTTGTGTTGAGGGTTAACAAGCCAAGACTGTCACAGTAACCTACAGTATGCGTGCCTTTCTGTACAGAACAGAATGAAAAGTCTGGTTTTCACTACAGGGCCAATAACACTTCTGCCAGGACTTACTAAATATTTATACAAGTCCATTTCCCCTAAATCAAAACCTAGGTGACTCTTTTTACATTTTATTGCCAGTAGGGATGACTTCTCTGTAGGGCTACAGTTTCATGTAAACAAATAGGGCTTTCAGTCCCATGTCCTATACACATTTTTGACTTGGTGCTTTCTACAAAATTCCAATTGGCTCTAATGTTAGAAGGGGGTGACTAACACTCTGACTGGCCCTGTGACAGATAGCAACCTCAACACATTCTTCAAGTCTCTTTCCCATTAATAAATGTTATTTTATTAGTTCAATAATTGCCCTTGGAGAGATTTCCCAGACTATAAAGGGGAGTTTGTTTTTCATAACAGCAATGGCAAAGTGTTAATAAGCCTAGAACCACAGCCTGCCATGCAGACTGCTCGCTGTGTATCTAGCTCTCTGCAGAACCTATGCTGATATTCCATTTGGTCTTAGCTTGATGTCTTTATCTTGTCATGTTTTAGAAGACTCTTCTGATCGTCACAGTGGAGATCGTGATTATATAAACTACGACATGGATGATAAAGTAGAGGTTAAGCATGTTTTCTGGATATATTTTGTTTTTTAAAATTCTGATCAGTTTTATTTCCATTACTGAATTGGCTTTATATCTTGACTTCAGAGCTGCCATCTACCGTGATTTCCCCTCCAGTGGTGTAACCTAATCTCCCCGGCCTTTCACCTGCAACCTCAGCCCTAATTAGTCCCATCAGTCCCCAAACCCCTTGGTGCACCATTCACTATAAAGCACGTTGTCTTTGTGCTCTCTGACAATGCATTCAACAGGTCCTTTGTCTTCTGGTCATTCCTATGTCACCCTCTCACAGAGTCCTTGATTCCATTTTTCCTGTTCTTTCGGTGGAACGCTGAAGGAAACCCTTTGTCTTGGATTTAACTTGTAGCAGCAGTTTTAGCTTTAAGACCATAATGATATCATAGTAGCGAGGATCATCATGACATCATCCAACATGATGATCACAGTGATGACATAAAGCTGAGTACTACGCGTAACATGGCATGACAGATGCCTAAAAAAAGATTAGTAATGTGCTGCAATTAAGGATTGATATGACCATATAAAAGATTCATTTAACGATGGAATGATTAAATGGGCATGAGGAAGGTAAGAAAATAATGACCATTCAAAAGTTGTGTAACACAAGTATAACACAAGTGATCTTTGTTGATGCTGCATGAACATGAACATAAATGAACAAAAACATCTAGAGAAATTGTTCTGGATTTTAAAACAACATGAACACTTGTTGCTATCAGCCAGTGTTAGCCCTTTCTTGGATTGCCATCCTATTCAGGGTCTACCTCCTGTAAACAGCAACAGCAGCAGGAGGAAGTGTAAAAAACAGAAAATTGGTTAATGTAGAGATGTTTAAGTTAACAATGCGGACTCCCAGTTGAACAGAGTGTCCCTCTAATGTCACTCATGGCTTGCTCCATAAATGTTTAGGGGGTCGAGTGTAAGATCACCAAGGATGTTATTTAACAACAAGAATGGAAACGATGGCAGTCAAGAAGAGGACGATGATCTTCCAAACGCAACATATAAGGCTCAGTGGACATTCAGATTGTTGCATAAGTAATAGGACCGATACTTTTAGTAATGGAATTGATTCTAGTCGGGATCAGAAGGGTGAGAAACGTTACTATTCCGCGTGGCCGCACTTGCACCGGCGGTGGGAGTGTCCGTGAGGAGGGGAGAGCCGCTCCTCTCCCCGCTTGCGCGCAGACAGGAGCGGGCGCTCGGATGGATTCATTCTGAACTTCCAGGGTCGCGAAAGCAGGGTCGCCGACTACATTCGAACGGAGGGGGAAAAGGAAAAGTCCGCAAAAGCTCTCGCATTAGGTCCCGGTTGTAATGTCAGGACGTGGGTCCAGCCCGCTGCTGCTGCTGCTGCTGTGCGCGCTGCTGGCGCTGGCGTGCGCACGCAGGAGTTCACCGGAGCCGCAGGATGTTCAGGAGAAAATCAACAGCGCCAGATGCACGTCCAGGTGCCTCAGTCTCCACATGACCCAGCTAACCGCTGCCTTCAGACACCTCCAGGTACCCGCGGTCGTTGGCCCACATCTTACTTAACGTGTTTACCAACCTGAGGTCATGGCCTCAAGTCAGCCTGAACACGGTGTGGCTATTCAGCTGGGGATGATGTTTGACTGTAATAATGTATTACTGGTTCAAAATATAATGTCATATCATTATATCATATCATATGTATAGGAAGTCAGAGAGGTAAAGAAAGAGCATAACCTCCTTTTACCATAAAACGTTGATTTAGTGTGTTTTGGTGTGGGTTTTGCTGCGTACTTGCTGTAACATGTATTTTTCAGGACTCTTATCAGTCTTGATTAATGCAATTACTTAGAATAGTAACGCCTTTGTTTCTGGGACACCATATTAGTTTCACAAAAAACAAATGTATTGTTTAGTGTCAGCACAGGATCCTGTCGTTGCTGAAACAGAATGGAAAGGTGAAAGAAAGAGAAGACTAAATGTGAGCATCTTGAATCAATAATGAGCAGTTAGTTATGTAAACAAAAGGAGCCTTGAACTAATTGCTAATAGAGCCATAATGCTCACTATCCACTAATGGCTGAACCTGCATTTAGTAATATAATTTACCTCAAAAACACAACTTTGCATCCAAAATGATTACTTGCCTGTTTTCTAAGTGGCCACAAACCACACAGAGATGATATCCATTAGTCCAGTTATTTTTAAGATGAGCTGTGATGTTTTCTTTTGACATAAACTGGAGAATCTGTACTTACAGTGTCAACTCAGAGTTATTGTGCTGGGCGATCTTGGCGAGCAGAGAGGTGTTGCTATTCACAGTGGATGAGCTCAATGCAGGATGCTTTGTGGTCTATGTCCATAAATTGTTGTAGTCAGTGTAGTTCAGATCAAGACGTTTTGGACAGATGTCTCTATGTTCCTCAGTCTGAAGTTACGCCTGTTCATGCTCATTGGGGCAAAAACACACCTAAAAAAGAAAGGTGGCGGCTTTTTAATAGTTCGCGAAATTGTTCATCAAACAGAAATTCCTGTTGCTTGGCCTTTGTAGTGAGGAATGTTAGATTAACGGGGACATTAGGACGTTACCAAGTTTGAAAAGCCACTTATCGTTAACGGCTTCAACATGTGCATGCCGTGTAGTGGGTGGGAAAGTCATTAACCACAGAGTTCAGCCCCAATGGCTCTGAGGTGTGTAGGAGAAAGTGTGTATGTGTGTATTGGTTTGCATGTGCTCATGTGTAAACCGGAGGTTTGGTCTGGTCCTTGTCCACTCAGAATGGGCTCCACCACCTGCGCTTTGGGTAATGATGCTGGCCCCTGGATGACTTTGTGGCACTGAGGTTTCTGTATGTATTTGAGAGCATGTGTGTGGTGGGGTCTCTGGAACAAAGGTGTGATAAAAAGAACATTTGGTTTAAAGTTTATGAACTGGACTGCAGTAGTCAAATGTGCAGCGTCACACAGTGGTGACGAAAACAAAACCAGCTCACTAGGTGGTAGCAAGCAGGCCAAGACATAAACTCTGCTCATGGATTTCACTTTTAAAAGTAAGCAATAATGTTTGTCATAGCATGGCATGATGCAGTTTAGGCCATTAGTTAGCATTTGTGATGGCTTTACATGTTTGGAATTCTTTCCATCTGCAGACAGACAAACATATTTTTCATATGATAAATATTGCTGTTTGATCAGCATACTCAATGAACTTTAAAAAGTCCAGCTACAGAAAAAACAAAAAACAAAACCAAACACTTTCCTGATTTCCTGTCAAAACTCATTTGTATAGAACATTTAGACAGACTGAATAAACTGCATACATTGAAGTACAATAACTGGGCTTCAACACGTTGTCCATATGCTTCAGTAGACAGAGAGTGTATGATTGCAGTGATTAACATCCCTTTGCCATTTCATTATTGCTTTGGGAAAGTACAAACCCCAGCCAGAGTATGAAGGGCCGCAGATTAAATATCTTGAATCCTGCAGAGAGAAGAACTGGCTGTTTCTGCCTTGTTCTTGTAATGCATTTTTGTGATGCCGCTACAAATGACTTTGCTTGTTCAAAATACTTTCCAACATGTACCTGAATTTGGAGGAATAGTCAAATGTGATGCCTGTTCTCCTCTTTTGTTGATAATGTGGTGCATCAGACAACTTACACTCCAAGTCCATTTGTAATAGACCGTGGCCAATGAAAATGACAAATAAATATTTAACAATCTAATTGAAAGCCACAGACAATAAATGGGAAGGGAAGAATCAAACATGAGAATGAAATGTTTATGTGTGACACAGCAACTCATTTTAAGGTATAAAAAGGCAGTGAAATTTTAGCATATTTTTGCACCAAGGAGGCATTTTCCTTAGCCACATCCTGGAAAACATCATCACTCCCCAAACGTTTTATAAGACAGTTTAGAGAGCACGCAGAGTAACTGAATGTGGGAGAGACTGTACCATTGAACATTTATTCCTTTAAAGAGAATTTAAAGAAAAAATATTTTTGATAACTGTAAGGGTAAACATCTGTACTCATCCTCCTTTGTCACCACACACCAGGACACAGACACACACACACTACTTCCTCTGGCTTCATGTGGGTGCACCCTGTGTTTTTGGCTCATTCTCTCTGTAAGTGTGTGTGTGGCTAGTGTGTAGCCACTAGAATGTGAATCACCAGTTTTCTATTTACACCTCTCTCTGCTGCGTCTCTGGGTTTTCCACTATTTTCCCCTTGTATGGTGTAATAGTGTAATTATAGCTCCTTTGTGTGTGAGAAAGTGCACATATGTGTATGTTGTCATATTCCTAAATTGCTCCTTGATGTAAACTGCTAAGAATAAGAGAAAAACTCCAGCCTTGCCTGCTTGGCTGCATCTTTCTGAGCCTACGTAGGCCATGAGATTAGAAAGCCTCTCATAGACACTCACAGGTTTTGTGGTGTTGATTAGCAGAGGGTTTGAGCTCCAAGCCAGAGTAAAAAAAAAAGTGCAAGGCTGGGATGAGCTGCTTGTGGGTTCATGTTTATGTGTGTTTGTGCACATATGAGTGAATGTGTATCTTCCTGCTGCACTGCGGTAGGTAATTCTAATCAGTCCAGAGGTCAGTCATGCTCTGAGGAAGACTAGATACAACTGTCAGGTTGGGTTGCATGGGGACAGGCAGGGAATTATAAATGTATATGTAGATAAAGGTAGACGAACCCGGTCAAGCATGAAAACAAACATTCCTCCCAGTGGAAAGACAGGAGAAAAAGGCAGGTGGACACGCAGACAGGCGTGATAGACATGCATGAGTAGTGACAACCTCACTGACTGATACACAGGTCCTACAAACACACTTCTATGCATATAGAAATCCAGGCAGAGAGACAAGCGTGGGGGTGAGTGGCGGTTGAACACAAAGGCTTGTGTGATTCACCTTAGAGATAAAGCCCCTGCAGCTTTGTGACTGCCCTGTCATTTGATCGCCAGAAATCGGGACAGATGGTGATAAAGTTGTGGTATTGTAGAAATGACATTCACCTGAAACCAAGGGGGGAAAAAAATTCCAAGACAGTAAATCAGGGCTGGGATGGAGAGGCAATGACTGGCACAGCTTTGTTCTTTTAGCTGCAAAACAGAGTCGGATAAAGATGCTTTTACCACATCAAGACTAAATTAGCACATTAAATGTGATACCTAAACAGATTCCACTTCTCTCAGATTTCTTTTGTGACAGGTTTGTATCGTCAAGTCATTCATCAAAGTCAATTGCATTCTGAAGAGGATATAGATACTGTGCACTTTACAGGTGCAACTACAGACAGCCTCACTGTGACCAGATATATGGTAATTATCATGTTTCTTAAAGGATTTTGTGCTCTATACATCTAACCTCAGTAAGACAAAAAAGTCCCACAATCTCAGGTTGATCCGATGATGGCTTACAGTACAGCATATAATTGTGAGAAAAATAGATGATTGATATTTCAAAACTTGACACCACAGCTTGAGTTAACTTAAAAAGATGCGGTGAAACGATGTGTGCATATGAGTTTGCCGGACTACACCCATGGTACAGTTGCTTCATCCCCAGCTTTTGCCTTCAACAGGACAGAAGATAGCTGCTGCCTACAGATAGTAAACCATTAGTCTAACAGATCCTGTACGTGTGACTCACATTGGATGATGACTCATCCTATGTGGAATTTTCTGGGTGTCCAAAATTAGGTTCTGTCTCCTACTTGATATGGATGTGAGATGTTTTTCTAGTTCTTTAAAAACATTTTTTGGGGTATTCCTAATGTTATTTGGCCCTAAAGTTAAAATAAAAAACTGGCAATCTTAATGTTCCTTTTTAAAAGCTATTGTTCTTCTAAAGGAAAATACTCTAATGATATAAATTATTATAATTACAAATAAACATGAAAATAGTATGAAAATGTGGAAAATCAATATAAAATGAATGTGAAAAATTAGCTTCAACATGTGATATTACCACCATATAGGAGCTGAAATAGCTGTATTAAGGCATTATATTTACTCTGCTGGTTGTGGTTCATAATGTTCATTAGAATAATATTGCATAACACAAATATTTTCCATCTGACAATGAGCTGGAGCCAACTAACTTAACATAAGCAGCTGCTAACCCAAAACCAAAGAAGAATGGATTTACAAATTGTATGTCATTTGTAAAGTGTTTTAAAAACTCAATATGAGAGAAATAACAGACTTGATAAGTGATTTAAAAAAATATTTTGTTGGAGTCTGGTTTCTGTTTCTGTCTTTGTGCTATGCTACATTAGCTTGTAGCTGGTAGTATTCAGCATGCAGATGCAATTTCTCTCCGATTTTTCTCTCCATCTGCCTTTCGGATTGAAAGGCAGATTGAAAGGCAGATGGAGGGTTAAAAACAAGAGATGGCTTTAAGCGCAGACTCATTTAGCAACCAGTTTGTTGTGATGCTTGTTGTTCACAGGATGTGGGGCCCCACAAACACTGTTGTTGACACTTAAGCAAGTATATTCACACACAGGCTAATTAGAA